GTTACCCATACGCTCTGGCCAACCTCAATTAATAAATGTTAAATATTTCGATTTAGTATTAGAAAGTAATTTTTTTTATTGGTTTCCTTCATTTGTAACTCTATATGTATGAATGTACAAATATGCTATTGTTGGTCCTGTTGTTGTTGTTGTGGTTGTTATATTAAATGCATCAGTTCAATTCCGCTTATTGTTAAATAATTTTCATTTAAATTAACTATTTATGTAGATATATATTTTCAGCATAAATGTTTTGCAGTTCCCTTCACACTTTAACACTTTCAAACTGCAATTGAGTAATTGCAACTGCATTGTGCTAGGGTGCTTTAATTTTGCTGAACAACTGCTTTTTATTTCTATGTGAAAGCGCTTTTCTAACAAATTGAATGTATATTTAAAATTTAGTTTCCCTCAGTATAATAATTTATTGTTGTTTTTACTATAGTTTCTTATTTAATTTTTTATATTTTACTTTGATAATTTTGTTTTAAGTTTAATTTTACTTTCACTTTTACTTAATTTTTTTTATTTTTTTTTTATGTTTACTTTTATATGCACATAAGCGCGTAATATTTACGCTAGTTAGTATTTGTAGTGGCTTAATTTTAAAAGTTTGCAGTTTCTTTAATTATAATTAGTATCACGATTGTCCATTTTATAAAAGAAAGTAGTCAAAAAAATATCTAATTAAAATTCAGCCAACGAATATTGGAACTGGCCTCCAAACTAACTTTGACTTTAATGTGAAGAAAAATTTTCTACGCTTTTCTAGCAGATATTTGGAAGTTTTTAAGGATCCCGAAAATGTAGATATAAATTTTAAGCAATCAAAGTATAGGCATATTCGAATATAAAATGAAAGCTCTTGATTGAAAAAGTTCAATATTAATTCTGAACATTAGGGTGCCTCACAAAAAACGGTGCAGTTTTCCCTCGCGCATTATCAAATTTATTTTATTTCCGAAGGCTATTAAGATTTACTGATTTGAAAAAAAAACTTCAAAAAGTAGAGCTTTTTTGTATAAAGAAAGTCATTTTGTAAAACTTTTCTTTTTAAAAAAAACCTCAAATGATTGAAGAGTTCACGCTTAAAGGGTCTGCATAAAAATGTTAGAACAATTTATTAATTTATTTTATGGTTCCAAAAAAAAAAAAAAAAACGGAATAAAAATAAACAGATTTTTTGGAGATACATATTTTCAAATCAGCCAAGCTTACATGAATCTTAATCTTCTTTCGAAATATTTGGGCAGAAGTTTTAAATATAATTAAATTATATAACTAAAATGGGAAAATAGTACCAATTCTTATTTTTTTTTTTGTATAGAGAGTGATGCACCCTAATATACATCTATGCATGGAATCTGATAGTAAACCAATCTAATTTAGTTTCTTGTTTAAAAAATGTTTCATTCCTTTTATTTAAAAAAGTTTACTTAATTAACTTAAATTTACTTGCATTCTCTACTGGTCTTTTGCTAGTGAAAAAGTGCTTCTTGTAACTATTTATGTTTTTATACATACATACCTCCCAATAAATAAACGCATTTTTTTGGTATTATTTCTTAATTATTTGCCCTTTAACTAAAATTATATATATAAAATAAGTTTTAATCAATTGCACAGTGCTGATATTTCTTCTAAGGTTTCCAAATTATTTTCTCCTAGAAGTCTAAATATTTTTTTGCTAATTTTTTATTGCACTAAACTATCACTAAACTACAGTCAATTTATTGTTGGCCTTATTTTATCGGTTTATTTATTATTTTTAGTAAAGGTATATCTACATTTTTTATATTATAATCGAGTGTGTGAAGGTGTCTGCAGGTATGTGTTTAAATAGATAAGAGTTATAGACACTAGTAAATATACTTCATTTATATACACATTTATGTTAATATACATTTACAGTATTTTATTTACAGTGATATTTTTAGTCATAGCATTTTTTCCATATTTTTTTTTTTAGTATTATTACTCTTACTTACTCTGTGTTACAAAGTTATGTATGTTCATAGTGAAATTAGTTAGGTTTACTTTTAACTCGAAGATCTTACATATCTGGTCGTTTTTTTAAGTAATTTTCTCACGTGTCTCGTATGTTTGTTTCAAATTTACTACCTACTTCGGACACTTAAGCTAAGGAAAATTGTTCAGAATAATTTAGAAAAGTGCTCGCTTGTCATTGGAGAAGTTCTTGTCTATTAACATCAACTAACAGAGATTCAGTCCCGTGGAAACGCCTCGAAACAAATACACTATGACCACTAATAACATCGATCTAAGACATCTATTTAACTTTCGCAGTGCCTGGTGGGGTCTGAGAGGCCCGACTCATTTTCAATAGATCACAACTATTATAACAGATGCGTCCGTGATTTCAAATCATTAGTAGCTGAAGTTCGATTCACGCACTGGCGATCCCCACCTAACTAGTTTTCAGTGCGTGAGTGCAGGGCGTCCACAGATCCCACCAGGCTCGCTCGAAAAATTACTTTACTTTTTCCTAAAAAATTTAAAATAATATTATTTCTTTTTAATAATAAGAATAATCAAAAAATTTTACGTTTTTTATTATTTATATAGTCGTACCAATATATGTCTGAAGTTAAGCAACTATTGCTTTTTTTCTAGTTATACGTTTATAGATTTACCGCATACATTTACTAATAGAGTGAGAATCCTTTCTTTAATAGGCTGGAAATTGTAGCGTCCAATTTTGGGGTATTTTTTCACCAGGCTTACAGAGGTTAAGCATTTTTATACAAATGGTTCTCATCAAGGGAGGAATGAGTAGCTGACATACCGATTTCCATTTCCACCGAAGGCTTGAAGATGTAAACATAAACCACCACTGTTCCTTACTCCTGAGTGTGCCTGTCTTTTAAGCAGAGACACCCACCATTGGGAATGTATGTAGTTAGTCTACTGTAGAATAGTATGAGTCTATCAGAGAAAGTCTCTCTCTTCGTTGAGAGAGAAACTGCTTGTAAAGTGTTATGACTGAAAATGAGTCAGTCGCATTGCAAAGGCGCATTGCAATGCCCAGGGGTGGAGTTCCATCTCCTCCTCATCTCTGAAGCTTCTACAGAAATCGTTATGCGGGGCTTCGAACCTGTCAGCCATATGTCCAATGATCTAGTGACCCGTTAGTATTCCGTTTGGCTTTGAAAACCTTGTTGTTCCTTCGTCGAGCCGTGGCCAGGGCGAGCGTGATACCATGCAGGTGTGCAGATATTCCCACCTACTGTTGGTGGCTGCCCTGGTCACTCTCTCGACTACTGAAGACAGAAATCGCAGGGTAGGGATCTTCGCCATTCCTTAATACATATCGAGTTAGTCGCTGTCAACAACGAAGGAAAGTTTAGATGGAGCTAGATCGATCATGCTCACCAGCCTTGCCATGTCGATTGCATATAACTCAGCCAGAAAAATACCGATGTGGTCTATAGAGATAATGGACATAGAAATTTCGATAGAAGTAAATTTCCGTGACCTGATAGAGACAGCTACTGTACTCCAACCCCACTATGTCGAGGATTTTAGCGTTACCCGAAGAAGTTTTTTTATGGCACATCGAAGCACTCGGCTACGGTGGCGAGATCACTACTCGAATCCGAAAAAGTCAGAAAAAATGCAATAAAGTATTAAAAAAAGTTAAAACAGGACCAAAAGTGAATTTTGCATTGATTTTTATTTAAGTATTTTACTTTTGATCTGAAATAAACTATGAGCTTAGCAACTAGTTTGAAAAATAGGAATATTTTTAAGCTCTTTGAAGAGGTTTGCCTCACTGGTTTAAAGAGTTAAATTTAAATTATTTAAAAGTTAAAAGAATCGTCAAAAGATAGGTATTAATCGAAATGAGTTTAAAAAATCTTTATATCTAGATTATGTGTAGCAGGGTTTCCACCTGTTTAAAATGCTTAGTTCAAATTAGTTCAGAAGTCAATTGAAATATTTATCACAATTTGGTTGTCAAACGAACAGGGCCTAAGAATGTTTTAGCTGAATATTTTTTTGAAGAGGGTTGCCAACTGTTTAAAGAAATCGATTTTAATAAATTATACACGATATTTTTTTTTTGATATTTCTAAACTGAAGCCAAAGTTAAGAGATTCAGGAAAGCTTTAGTTCAAACGTATTTTTAGTAAAGGTTGCCACCCATTATGAAACTCAAATTTATTTTAACTACACAAATAGTTATATGTATATGTATGCAATATTACACGTACACTGTGAAACATTTTTGGGAATGGTTGCCAGCTGTTTAAAAAATCGAGACAATTTAATAAACAATTTAGCTAGAAAGTGGTTGCTTGAAAAAATTACGAGTTTATTAATTTTGCTATGCAACTTGAATTGGTTTGATGCAAAAAGATTTTCGAAATTTTTGAAAATTTCTCCTATTGTGTGCAATTCCTTGACTAAGGATTTTGACATTTTAACACCTTACAGCTAGATAACCAGCACTAAAACAGCTAGCTTCTGTTGAAGTTGTTCCAAATGTCCAGAACCAAAGAGTGCTTTCTTTTTTTAGATTAACTTTATATCATGCCTTTAAAAAATAATAGCTGAAATTGCGTTGGCAGAAAATCCAAAAAGTATGCAATAGCAAATTTTAATTCGAAAAGTTCTAACGAAATAACTTTCACTTAAGAGAGAAATAAATTTGTAGATCTTTTTGTTTTTTTCACCTTTTCTCTTTCTCTCCAATCTTTCGCCAAATCGTTTTAGACGAGTTCAATAATTTTTTCATGCATTTTATAAATAGGTTTTGTTACAATTTAAACTATCCAAGTGCTATACTTAGTATATTTTATATTTTATTACTATGTATTATCCTATTTGCATAGTTGTTATTAAAAAGTTACTACTTTAGGAATCAATTCTATAATTATTTAAAATCTACACTTTTTTCAACAATATACGTAAGTATTATTTCTTGTTTCCCATCGCTCAACACAAATATAAAATCAAAATCAAAAACAATTACGGCTTCAAATATTTTTTTATTTATAAACTTATTTCTTAAGTCTATCAGATTTACATTAGCTAGAACTATAGTCTATAGATAACAGTTTTTTTTAAGAAATTTACAATAATTTACATTTTTTCAGCTAACAACTTTTGTTTTCTTTCTCCACTCTTTTCAACAATTAAAGCAATAATCATTCCAGTTAGGTTTGGTTTAAGTTTTTTTGTATCGTTTTTACATGGCAACTCTTACAGCTACATCACACTTACGGTGCCTCTCTTTATAGTACTTTACAAATATGTGACGAGTGCATGGCGCTCGTTCCTTCGCTCCAGCTATGCGCTCGTAGTAGTATGTTTCCTACAGCTAAGTTCACGCCTCTTACTACGCTTCCAATTATCAAAGTGACATTGTGAAGAGCGGTAACGCAATCGCCGCAAACGAGAGCAGAAAGAGACGTTCACTCGAACTGCTAAGCGCGCTCGCTTGGCACAACAGGTCTTCGGGAAAAATCTCCAATATGGGTAGGCGACGGCCAGTTGTCGGATCGTGACATGTGTTGGCGCGCGCGCGCTGTAGAGCGGAAAGAGATAAAGAGGGTAAAGTAAGCAGTAGCTTCGATTTGTGCTGAAATAACTCAACTAACTAAATAGTAAAAAGAGCTAAAAAATTAAAACCGAGAAGCTTACGCGCATAACGTGTACGGGTAACGGTAACTTCGTGCAGGGTAACGAAACGTAAAAGCATTAAAAAAGTGAGAACAAAGTTCATACATAAATTTCAAGTAAATAATAAAAATTCTCATAAAAAAATTTTCATTAGTTCATGCGTTTTTTGCTCACCTGCACCATTCGCTTCATCTCATCCTTCTGTATCACTTTTATTTGCGCCGATTCACGCAGCCATCGCCTCAGCCAGTGACCGAACCACACCAAGCCGCACTCGCACTCGAGCGGATTGTGTGACGTGTCCAGTCCGCCCATAATGCTGCGTGTACCCACAGTGTCCCAGTAGGTTTTGTTCGGGTAGAAGCTGTCCGCCGCCAGCGCATTGATTTTGTTGTGCGAAATGTCGATAGCCAGCTGCGGTACGGCACGCAGCGTATAAAAAATGCCCGGCGGCAGATCAGATATTTTAGTGTGTGAGATTTTTACCAGCAAATGTTGATTGCGCGCCAAGCCCGCCAGCGCATCCGGTGCTATTGTCTGCACATTGCCGCCATACAACTCTAACAGCTGTAGTTTTGTGTTATTCACCAGCTTCGCCAGCAGCTCCGGCCCTATATTTGTTTCCATGCAGTGCACACGCAACTCCTGCAGGCCCGGTATACGCGCCACAATCTCACCCAAATTCAGATGCGATGTGAGATGTAATTTGCGTAGCGAACGTAGCTTGATGAACACCGACGGATTGGCTACCTTGACGTCGAGCAAATTGAGATCGGTGAGGTGGCGTAGCGCAACGAGGTCGTGCGCGCTGATGCGCCGCAGTGGGTTGTGCGCCAAATCGAGCACACGCACAGATGTCGGTAGATGTTCGGCAATATTGCTGGCGTTGACAATTTTATTATGCGACACATTGACGTGGCGCAGCTGGCGCATTTCGTGTAGCGATGAGAGCTCCTGCAGGTAATTTCCGCTCACATCGAGGTGTGATAGATAGGGCAGACTGAGTTGGGGCAGCACATAGAGGCCCATGCGACGTATTTTGAGACGCCGTAGGCGCGGCGTGTGTAGGAACACCTCTTTCAGATTGGTGGTAACCAGTGGATTCTGCGACAGCTCCAAGTTGGTGAGATTGTTTAGGAAAGTGAACGTGTTGTCAGGCAGCACTGTAATGCGATTGCAGGCCAAGTTGATGTCGTAGAGGAATTGTGAGTTCACAAACATGCTGGAGTCGAGGTATTCGAGCGTATTCTGCGCCATCTGTATGCTGCGCAGCGTAAAGCCGACATCAGAAAACGCGGGTACAGGCCACACCGATAGCTGATTCTCGGAAATATCAAAGTATTCAAGGCGCGTATTCATGAAGACCTCGCGTGGCAAGGCGCGCAGACGATTACCACGCACGCGTAGTATGCGCAGCTTGCGCAAATTCGAGAACTGCTCCACTTGCAGCTGTTCGAGACCATTATAGCCGAGATCCAATTCTTGTAGACTGTTCAGACCCTGAAAACTGCGGCGCCGCAGCGAAGTGATGTTGTTGTGTGCGAGATTGAGTATTTCGAGGAATTCGAGGTCGCCGAATGCGTGGTTGGCAAGCCCACCTATGGTGTTGTGCGCGAGGTTGAGGAAGCGTAGCGTATTGGCTAGATTGGCGAAGCTGTCCGGCGTGCTTATCGCATTGTGGCTAATGTCCAGGTTGTAGATGTACATATACGAACTGAGTTCGTCCTCGAAGTGGCTAATCTGATTGTAGGTGACGTTCAAACGCAGCGGTGTGCTGGTGTTCGAGACGAAATGAAAAATTTTTAGGGAAAGGGAACAGAGGTTGTTGTGCATCAAATCCAAGGCAGCGAGATTGGGCAGTATGGTGAAGGCACCATGGGAGATGTTGGCCAGTTGGTTATAGGACAAATCGATGTAGCGCAGAAATTCCAGATTGTAGAAGGCGTGCTTCTCCAGCAGTTTCAACTTATTCGATTGTAGGTTAAGCGTCTGCAGGTCACCTAGACTGTGGAAGGTATTGCGTGCTATGACTTCCAATGAATTGTACGAGAGATCGATCTCCACGAGGTGGCTGTGCACATCGGGCAGAAAGAGACCACGCGGCAGCTGCTTGAGTTGGTTAAACGCCAGGTTAATATAGCTAAGTTCCCGCATATTTGCGAATGAATCGTTGGAAAGCATCTTCAAATTATTATTGTCCAAACCCAGCCACATGAGCTGTGAAAGCGGCAGTAGTGCGTCGAGCGGATCGATGGACTCCAAACTGCGTGCAGGAAAGACGGCGAAGGAGAGTTCCAGTATCTTAAGTGTGCGCGAAACATTCTCAAATACCATGGGATGGTGGATATTGATGTCGTTGAAGCTCAAACTGATTTCCTGTATCTGCTCCAAGCCGTAGAAAGAGCCCAAATGCAAGTGCGTGATTTTGTTGTTACGCAGCAGTATCGTCTGTAGGTTTGCGCCCCAACTGTCCACCGCGAAAATGCCCTCAGGTATGTCTGAAATGAGGTTGTAGCCCATATTGAGGTAAGACAGCTGCGTGTAATTACGCAGCGCCAGCACTGGTATCATCGTGAAGTTGTTGCCGCTCAAGCTGAGCACGCGCAAATTATCCATGTTCTCCGGCAGATTTGTGAGTTGATAAATATTATTCGAGGCCAGATATAGATACTTGAGTTTGTGCAGCGTCCTAATCGCACCGGGAACTGCGTTCAACTCATTGCGCTCCAGATCTAAGTATTCCAGCGTCTCTGTTACGCCCTCAAAGGCGTTCACATGTATGCGCTCGATGGCATTGAAAGCCAGCACTAAATGCGCTATGCCAGTGCCCTTGAACACCGCCGGTGGTAGCTGCCGTATATAGTTCTTTTCCAGATTGAGCGCGCGCACATGCACGTCAGAGTAGTTGTTCTGAAACCAATCTGATTCTAGCGTTTCCACCAAGTTCATGCCCAAGTCGAGCTTCTCCAACCGCATGCGCACCAGCCGCAGCTCTTTCGTTTGCACGCTACGCAGCAAATTGTCACGCAGCGATACGATGCGCAGCCCATGTAGATGCTCGAAAAGTTGTTGTGGGAAAACGGTGAGCAGATTGCTCGACAGATCGATGGTGACCAGAGAGCGTGGCAGGAAGTTGGGCGCAATGTGGTAGATGCGATTGTTTGAAAGATCCAGCCAGAGTAGTTTTTGTAGGCGACTGAAAGGTTTGCTTGGCGCAATGTGATTACTCGTGCTGGACGTATGTCCCGCAGCAGACCCGCTGAGTCCGTTGAGCATGTTTAACGCATGGTTGTGCGCACTTTTCATGCTGCCGAGCTCGTCGTGTCGTGTGATGGCCGCCAGGCTGGAAGGATGACCGCTACCGCTGCCGACGCCGTTCAAGCTATTGCCGTTCTCGTGAAGACCAAAAGGAGACACCTCGGTGATGTCGTTGCCGGAGAGGTGCAACGAGCGCAGAGAATCGAAGAGAGCCTCCCAGTTGCCTTCGAGAGAGGTGATGTGATTCCTTTGAGGACAAATATTTTGATAAAGAATTGGTAAGGTATTTGAATATATTTTTGTTTAATGGAATGAAGAGGTAATATGAGCTAAAGTTTGAAGAAAGTTTTAATGCTATTATACAAATGGATGATGAGTAGGTTGGGCAAAGAATGAAAGCAAAATTAAACAAAACAAAACAAAAAAATTATCAAAATGGAAACAAGTGCTAACTCAAGAGGTTTCAATTATTCGGGAGAATACTATGTAGTACCCTTTTTAATTCCACAGTTCTTTCTGTGGTAACTAATAAAGCAAAATAGCGTTAGTCTAACGTCAAACACAAAATAGTTGCTTTTGGCAAAGTGTATGAAATAATCGGAAATATCAGAATAAGAGCTTTTCAACTGATGTTTACCAACTAAATATTCTCTGTGAACCTCTACGATATAATGAGGATATAGGTCGCAAATCATATCTATATTTTGCGCTATACGATATTAATATTGAACATTCCTTTAAGACTCACTTGGTCTAGCACTGAAGTTCAACGATTTTTCATAGACAAATCTTATGCTATATTCTTGTGTGTTTAATGCCAAAAAGTATGCAATATAAGCCGCTTGAGCATTTTTTAAGTATCTTTTATATGTCTTCTAAATATTATATGTATATACATTTCTATGTGCACTTCTCAAACGGCATATTAGAAACTAAATTACATTTGTATACATTTTGCACGTTCCTTGCTAAATCCAATACCACCAAGGTTTTCCTGCCATAATTACGGTAGGTGCTTGTTGGAAAGAGAACTACAGAGATTGCTAAGAGTTTTCCAACTTTTTTCCGATTTTTGAGAAATTCTTAATATTCAAGTGGATATACAAAATTTTTCCCATGTTTTGAATAAAGTTTGAACTCAATTTGATATCCAATCTCAAATGGGGTGCTCTGACAAAAAATGCGCCCTTTTGTTAGAGAAAGGGTTGGTTCTCCGATTACGGTACACTTGAAAATCACTATTGGACCTTGGGATTTGTATTGGATCTCCACTTGGTATCTAACCCAAAAGTTGATTGCCTTATATTCAGAGTCTAATGGGGACTAGATTGTCGCCTATCAAGGTCTAGCTGCGTTCATAAATTAGGAAGTCACGGCTGTAGAGATTCCTAAATGTTTTTTTACATGGCAATAAAGATACATTTATTTTGGCGATTTTTTTTTGGTTTAGTTTAGATAAGGTGGGACTGGCTAGCCCATGCTTACTTTCGTAGCGCCTATTAAAGTCCACATCGTTACAAACGAATACTGCGATAAGGTATTTTCGCTTATTTCTTGAACCAACAGCTGTGTTGAAAAATATAGCCGAATTGCAGCAAATTTTCTGCTTTCCTTTGGCGTCTGCCTCAAGATTCGCTAGCAAGAGTAGATTTTTTACCGAATCTGGAGAGCCAAAGCCGTAGCCTACCAAGGGTTGAACACGCACGGAGGATGTGTTCCACTGTCTACTGATTCATTGCGCCAGACCTAGCTTTAAGCCATGCCATGCCAGAAATTAATACCCTTTTAGTATAGCAGCTGGAGGCTCGTTCTTTTCGCTATCAAAATTCTTACCTTGTGAGCTTGCTATCATAAACATGGTTCTTCCACCACCACAGCCTTGCGTACTAGCCCACAATTTTCCAGCCCCTGCACTGCCCGAATGTCAATATAGAGATTCTCTTTGCCGCTTCCTTATTTCCTCACGCCAGCCTTCGAGTTTAAATATTCGCTCCAAAGTACAGGTTCCTCGATCACGTTGCTTGTTCATCAGGAAATTTTTTACGCTATACTACATTTTGAAGGCTTAGACATTTGAACTTATCAAGCACCTATTAGCAGTATAATAACTTTTGCGTT